TGACCATTCGCAAGCTGCTGCAGGAGCGAGTGGAGGTAATCTTCGTGGCTCCATTCTGGCCTTGGAGACCCTGGTTCGCCGACCTGGTGAATCTCTCCCGTTCTCCCTCATGGAAGATCCCCCTGGATCGTGTGTCTCTTCACCAGGGGGTTCTCTGGCACCCGGAACCTCAATGGCTACAGTTAGCCACCTGGCACTTGAGCGCAGAATCATGACCCAGGAGTTGTTCTCAGCCAGAGCGATTTCCATGATTCAGGCCTCTCGCAGGCCGGCGACCAATCGCATCTATGACTCCACATGGAGGACTTTTTGCCATTGGTACGGAAGGCGGCAACTGGACATCTCAGAATTGGCAATCCCTCAGATCATTGACTACCTTCTTGATGGCCTGGATAGAGGCCTAGCCCTTGCGACCATCCTTAGACAGGTGGCGGCCCTATCAACCCTACTTACCTGTGCCAATTCGATTCCTCTGGCTCACCATCCCAGAATACACGCCTTTCTCAAGAGTGCCAGCAACACCAAGCCACCCGTGGTACACAGGTATCCCTCTTGGGAGTTGCCCTGAGTTCTACTTGCACTCACTAGACCGCCTTTTGAGCTGGTCACTACTATAGCTTTGAGTTCCTTATCCCACAAGCTCGCCTTCCTGATCGCTATCACGTCAGCCAGGCGCATTTCCGAGCTGGCGGCTCTATCAATCAGGGATGATCTTTGTATTTTCCACCGGGACTGGGTGGTCCTTCGGCTGGATCCCACATTCGTGCCCAAGGTCAATTCCATAGGGCCCAGGAAATTATTTTGCCAGATTTCTGTCCCAATCCTTCCCATGACTTGGTGTGGCAGTGGCACACACTGGACATCCGCAGGATGCTACAACGATACATCAAGCACACGGCGTCTTTTCGCAAGTCGGAGGCCCTCTTCATCTACTTCCTCCCGGCTTCTCTGGGGCAGAAGGTGTCTGCTTCCCCCATAGGTAGGTGGATCAAGGCCTATATCATGGAGGTGTACCAATCGTCTTTGCTGCCAGCTCCAAGTCATATCATGGCCCACTCCACTCACAGCGTTGCGACCTCTGTAGCATGGGCCACTCAGGCATCCATCAAGGAGATTTGCAGGGCTGCGACATGGTCTTCGCCCTCTCCATTTGTATGCCATTATAAGATTGACCACTTTGCTTCCGCGGATGCCTCCGTTAGTCGGAGGGTCCTTCAGCAAGTGATTTCCAGGGATGCAGATCCAGCCTCGTCCATTTCCACCCATTGGGACAGTGAGGCTTTGATATATCCCATTGGTGGATTCTCCATCTTCTGTGCTGGAGAAGGGGTGTTGTCTTACCTGAATGCCTTTTCTCAGCATGGAGATGGAGAATCCACACCCACTCTTAAGGTCATTTAGGCCGGAATTAGGGGTCTGAGAGCCAACACCTCGTACTAGCATCAGCCGCTTTCGCCCTCGTCAGGACTGGGTTCTCCTAGCAACAAGGGGGCATGTCAAGTTTGGCTAACTTGGTCTCAAGAGCAGGCAGACAGAGAAAACCCATTGGTGGATTCTCCATCTCCGTGCCGAGAAAAGGCATACAGGTAAGACAACGCCCCATCTAAGTGAACGGATTCCTACTTAAAGGGGGGTTTAGCAATTGTGCATTCTTGTCCCACTCCTTTTTTTAAATTTGTGTAGTGATTCTAGTTGAACATTTAATGATTTGGCACACTAATCCCCAAGGCTGATGATAAAAGTCTTGTAGTGCAGGTTTATGTGGCAGAATACTTTTAGGTGAATGTTCTGAAGACAGTCCATGTCTGAAGATAAATCTTACACATGATGCATCAGGTCTCCTCAACTCTTTTTATGGAAGAGATTAGTTATCTTGACATTCAATAATATACAAAGTTCAGCTCCTGCTATAAAACTTTACAGTTGCTATAGATCTGAGTTCCCTAACCTTTTCGACTTTGCAGACCAGCTGGGCAGGGGAGAGGGGATGGTTCCATGCATGTGGTGGACAAGCACGCCTGCGCACATCTCCACTTGCACGATTGCTCATGAAAATGGAGCACGTTTGCCTGCTGCTCACGCAGGTTTGGGTGCTCATGTGTGTGCATGCCTGCCACATGATCTTGGTTTTCTTAATGTTGAGTTTCAAGCCAACTTTTGCACTCTCCTTCTTCACCCGCATCAAGAGGCTTTTTAGTTCCTCTTCACTTTCTGCCATTAGAATGGTATATCTTAGGTTGTTGATATTTCTCCCGGCAATCTTAATTCCAACTTTTGATTCATCTGGTCCTGCCTTTCTCATGATGTGCTCTGCATATATGTTAAATAGGCAGGGTGACAGAATACAGCCTTGGCAGACTCCTTTCCCAATTTTGAACCAATCAATGGTTCCGTGTCCAGTTCTCACTGTTGCTTCTTGACCCACATATAGGTTTCTCAAGAGACAAATAAGATGGTCTGGTACTCCCATCTTTTTAAGAACTTGCCACAATTTGTTGTGATCCACCAGTCAAAGGCTTTAGCATAGTCAATGAAGCAGAAGTAGATATTTTTCTGGAACTCTCTAGCTTTCTCCATGATCCAGCGTATGTTGGCAATTTGATCTCTAGCTCCTCTGCCTCTTTGAAATCCTGCCTGTACTTCGAGAAGTTCTCGATTCACATACTGCTAGAGCAGTGGTTCTCAACCTTTTTAATGCCGCGATCCCAACCGGTCGTAAGTCGAGGATTACTCAACCGGTCGTAAGTCTGCAGCACCGTTTGCAGAATGGGACTTTTGGCGGGCTCAGCAGGGCAGAGACAGCCTGGACAATTCCTATTGGCTTTTGAAAGCCAATAGAATTAGACTCTATTCAAGAGAGTCTATTCTATTGGCTTTCAAAAGCCAATAGAATAAAAGGGAGTAGCACAGCTAAGAAAAAGGGGAAAAAAATGGCGGACTGCGTTGTTTGGCGACTCCCGTGAAATGGTTGTTCGACCCCAAATGGGGTCTCAACCCACAGGTTGGGAACCACTGTGCTAGGGTCTAGCTTGTAGGATTTTAAGCATAACTTTACTTGCATGTGTAATGAGTGCAGTGGTGCGATAGTTTGAACATTCTTTGGCATTGCCTTTCTTTGGAATTGGAATGTAAACTGACCTTTTCCAATCCTATGGCCACTGTTGAGTTTTCCAAATTTTCTGGCAAACTTTTACTGCATCTTTTAAGATTTTGAATAGCTCAGCTGGAATAATGTCACCTCCACTAGCTTTGTTGTTGCTCAGATTTCCTAAGGCCCATTTCACTTCACATTCTACGATGTCTGGCTCAAGGTTATCGTGGTTATCAGGGACGCTAAGTTCATTCTTGTATAGTTCTTCTGTGTAATTTTGCCACCTCTTATTAATCTCTTCTGCCTCTGTTAGATCCCTACCAGTTTGTTCCTTTATCATGCCCATCTTTGCATGAAACATTCCCTTCATATCTCCAATTTTCTTGAAGAGATCTTTGGTTCTCCCTATTCCTCTTATGTCAATATAAATTCCTTGTTAATACGACATTATAGCCCAATAACCTTTTAAGAAAAATTATTTATATATATATATATATATATATATATATATATATATATATATATATATATATATATATATATATATATATATATAAAAAATGTGGCAAATAGCAGTTGTTTATAAAAATATGGATGTCATAGGTTTATTTCATATTAATTCTTTGTGGCATCTATACAGTTTTTAAAAGTTTTGTGTATTTGTAGAGGATCTATTCTTCCTTAGTAAATATGAACTACTCTTTAAAATCAACTATGCTTATTTTAACTGCACTGAAGTTGATTGTGACATGGCTTTAAGAATACCTGACACCGATTTTTAAGATGCCATAAAGATATTGGATACCAAAATAAAGTATAATTTATCACAACTTCCCTAGATGGAGAAACTTTAGATGTGCAGATCAGAATATACTTCTGCAATGAATACATGCATATTTAAAATTGATTTTGATGAGATTAATTTTCTGATACTCCTCAATATAAGCTTCTCTTTATATTTGTATATGTAATTTTTCCACTAATACTAATCTATTAACATTGTAGCTTACATTGTCTTTTTTTCTAAAGAATATATAGAAAAGGTCAAGGTAATATTTGACAATGCTCATGTTTTAATATTTTAGTTGTAGGAGATCCCAGAGTAAGATCTGAGGTAATTATGATTGAAAAGCATACATTCATTGAAGTTTAAGGTTAGATTTAGAATTTTATAAACATAGGAAATGAGCATTTATTCATTTCCCATTCTAAATGATAATTCCAATCTCTTCTATAAAATCAGTACAAGTTTGTCTATTTAGCAGGATTTAGAAAGAATGATGGCAAGCAGTGTGGAAAGAGATCAATGTTTTAAGTTATACAAAATGGCTGTGGCTTGCTGCAAACATTTCTGTGCTGTCATAGAGGTCAGATATTTGGAAGGTGGATCATTGGTTTGCAGAATAAGCATATAAGTGCTTAAAGTGACTTTAAGAACTTGAAGGGGTTATATTAATTTTTCTTAATCAAGAATGTAGACATTTAGGCACTTGCAGAGGCATTTGCAGAGTTTCATTCATGTAATTTGGGCTGGGGGGTTATATTAGGGCTGCATTTTAACCATATCTTTTATAAATTATCAATGTTTATGCTGCTGCTTAATGTAAGAATATTTTTCTTATGGAAATGAAAGGCATTTTTCTGGGTATTGCTCTCTTTAGTGAGATACCCTTTGCTAGCAAACACAAGCAGCAGTGTGCATTTCCACCCTCCATCTCTGCATCTTGTTCAGAATCAGCCAGTCTCCATGGCAACCTATTAGACTGAAAGAGATGTGAGGAGCAGAATGGAAAAGAAATGAGTTAGAAACCCCAAGTGGTGGTGTGTGCCTCCAACGTCAGCTTTTAAGCCTTCTGATTGGATGGTTTTGTTAATTCCCACCCCCACGGCTTCTCTGTAGAGCTTCTGTATTAGAATAACCTGGTGCAGCAGCTTCAGCAGCCTCTCCCTTTTGAAGTTGCATTTTCTTTTAATTTTTAATTTCTACATTAATTCCTCTTTCTGGTAGAGGATGTTTGTCATATTGTTAGTAATCCCAGAGTTCCTTTCCAACATGGTGATCGGTAAAAGCAAGCAAGCATGGCTGTATTTCACTTGACCTCTGTGATATTCCTGTAAAACCTCTTTCGATGGTGCCTAAGGAGAACAGACTATGCAGAAATTCATTGAAGCAGACTACTACGAACTGGACTGGTATTATGAAGAATGTACAGATGGTAATTACACAATTTTGTAATAATTCTGTTTTATACTTGTGATCTAAGCTTATCTATCACTGTAGCAGGAGAACTGAAAGAAATAGTGAAGTGATATTGCAGTTGAAGTTGACAGATTTTAGCATTTCTTGGCATAAGTTTGAAAGATGCTATAGGAAATTGTAATTAGGGCTTTTGGCCAGTGGGAGTGGCAGCAGAACATTGGTACTAGACAGTCTTTTGGGGAGAAGGAAAATGCTTCTGAAATGCTTATTGTTTATAGCTGTTGGTAGAGCTTATACTTAAATCCGTTTCTTTTGCTGAGAAGAGTATATTTTTAGAAAATTGGCTAATCATCACATATTATTATGTAAAATGGAAATATCTGTGTGTGTGTGTGTGTGTGTGTGTGCGCGCGCGTGTGTTTGTGTGTGTGTGCATGTGAATATATAGATAGGGAGTTAACATCTTAGTTTGGGATTAAAAACTTTATTGAAGGAAATAGAGCAGTTCTAGCTAAATTATCAAAAGGTTAAATTTGAGAAGTCTATCTCTGTCACGAGCATCTCTCGAACTTTCTGTTTTCTGTCACATTGGTAATTCTGCTTTCTGGTAAAGCAGGATGTGATCACCAGTCTCATGATAAAGGAGAGTGCAAGGAGGAGTAACGAAAACTGCACCACATGTCTTGCGGGAAATTCAAATCTTCCAATTTGGCCTCAGAACAAAATCCAAAATGAAATCAGAATTCTGAATAATATTTCTTGTCATAGCTTTATTCAATTCAAGTGTTCCTCTTTATAAATAAGAGAGATGAAGTTATAGGGAGCAAAAGAGATGTAGCCATTATTATGAATTTAGGATAAAATATAAATTTTAATATCAGGATTTAGAAAGATTAGGATAAAATGGAAAATAAATACAGAAATAATATACTCTTTGAATATTCTTCTGAATTTGACACTGCTTATTGCATGCAAGGATAACAGTGGTGACTGACATATAATTTGGGAAATGCTTATTTAAGATTATTGTATGATTTTCTGGTTTATCAGAATGATCTATTTCTGGTTTAATTGAATGATATAGGTTGGATGATCTAGTGTAGAATATCAAGAAAAAGACAAGTTTCTACTTCCATATTTAGTTTTCAGTTTCCTAAATTGATCTTCAAGAAGTTTCTAAAATTGTTAATTCTAAGCCACACATAGAAAAATAATATTGATAGTGAAGAAATTTTAGTAGGATTGCCATATTGTTTGTGTTAATCTGATAAAGAGATCAAATGTTTACTTCTTGACTAGATTTTTCTTTAAGCAACATTTATCATTTTAATTGCTGATATGCTGGACATTTTAGATTTTTTTTGATTCTTTAATACTTTGTATGCTTCTGTTTTTTCTGTACTCTTCAATACTGCTTGGCCTTCTTATGAAAGAAAATAGAATAGAATGTTAAACAAATAAAAACAAGATATTTGCTTCCAAATCTGTCATTGTTTAGTTAGGCTAAGTGTTCAAAATTAGAGAGAACATCACTGATTGTATTCATTTTCTGATAAAAGAGATACACCCAGACATCATGTATTGACAATCTAACCAAAAGAAAAAGAAAAGAACCAACTGCTGTAAGAAGTAAAGTGAGCAAAACAGGGAAGTATTACTTTGCTCATGGAGGCTTCTTGAGTTACTGTATCCTCTATGTCTATGGAATTTAGTAGCTGACACAGAGCAATGAAGAATTGTTCCAGTCAGAGGAAGTTATGCCATCCTGGAAATGAAAGGCAAAATAGGAAGGAAGAAAAAGTACATGAAATCTTAACATAGTATATGGGTTGGTAGTCTTCAGCCATCTCAATTTCAGCCATATACGTACACAGCTGTCATGAAGTATGTAGCCCCTAAACCACTTGTATCTGTAAATATGTTTTACATTGGAAGTAGACCTATAGTGAATAAAGTTATATAAAAGGTTATTTTAGATGAGTTACCAAAGTTTGTCTTTTCCCAAAGAGAGAGATCTTTGATCTGGCATGTATGCAACCTCCTTACATAGCTTTTTAAAACAATAGTGGTTTTTCCTAGGCTCTCCCCCACCCCCTAGGAACTCCAAAATACCATTTTTGAGTCAAATCCAAAAGCCTAATACTGATTCTAAAGTATGTATAAATATGCTGTGGATGAAAATTTTACCATTATCTATAACAGTGGTTCTCAACCTGTGGGTCGCGACCCCAATTGGGGTCGAACAACCATTTCGCGGGGGTCGCCAAACAACGCAGTCCGCCATTTTTTTCCCTCTTTTCCTTAGTTGTACTACTCCCTTTTATTCTATTGGCTTTTGAAAGCCAATAGAATTAGACTCTCTTGAATAGAGTCTAATTCTATTGGCTTTCAAAAGCCAATAGGAATTGTCCAGGCTGTCTCTGCCCTGCTGAGCCCGTCAAAAGTCCCATTCTGCAAACAGTGCTGCAAGTTGACTACAGCGAAGGCGAGCTGTCTGGAAGTTTCAACCCCTCCCTGCTGAGCAACTACTAAAAATGTAAGTAAAAGAGGGCCAGGGGTGGGAGATGGGAGGCCGACAGGCGCAGGGAGGGTTGCTGGTGCGCGTGGGGCCCGGCGGGTGCCTTACCTCCCTTGGCTGGGCCAGCTGGTGGCCCAGCTGGTAGTCGGCTGCTCTGTCTCTGCTGCTTGCCAGCTACGCTTCGGCCGGTGCAGGGGGCGGCACCACGCATGCGTGGCGCTCCCAGGCAGGGAAAGTCCTCGATTTACGACCGGTTGGGTAGTCCTCGACTTACGACCGGTTGAGTAGTCCTCGACTTACAACTGGTTGGGTAGTCCTTGACTTATGACTGGTTGGGGGTCGTGGCATTAAAAAGGTTGAGAACCACTGATCTATAATAAAAAAAATATTTCAGTCATGTTTATAATAAAGGCATAAACCATGTTTTTAAAATAGGATACTGACAAATCCTAGTTAACTCTGAATTTTCAGTGGGAACGTAAAATGGGAAAAGGTGGTAAGGTAAGATGTTAAGGAGAAAAGAATACATATTAATTTATTACTGAGTTCCTAGGTTGAAAATTTAAAGCAAACATTCATGGCCAATATTCTCAGCCTACGTGTAAACCTGAAATTCCCAAATTTCACATTTTCCTGGTTCCATTTGTTTCTGTCTATTAGCAACCAGTAGTATACAGATTATACAATAGATTGCAAAATAATTTCACTGCCTCATTTCAAGGTGTACCATTCTTTGTACCTATGTTTACTTCCTGGTATAGTTGCTATGAAACCTATAGGAAAATACCATTTTTGTTTAGAGTAGGGAGGATTATAACAATTTAAATTTTAAAAAATCTGCTTTAAAGGGACAAATTTTTTAAGTGTTCAATTTTATTATGAGCAACATTCAAAGAAAGAGGATTATAATTTGCTGCTATTTATATTATATGGATAACTAGTAATGAATAGATATTCTTATAATCTTCCTCCTCCCCTATTCTGTATTTTGCCTCTCCTTTCATGATGATCATAGCATACAGGTTACCTAGCCATATCACTTGAAGAATGTTAAACAAGAAGTTTGATTTCTTCTGTATGGAAACCTCATTTAGTTTGTACTGCAGATATTGGGATGTTTACCTATTTTTGAGCATTATTTTACAAGATCTTACTTAATGATGATTTTTAGTAATGTCACTGAAAGAATCCATATATCAGGATGACAGCTTTGAATCCAGTTGTAACAATGAATGTAAACACAGAAGTTATGAGAACCTTGATTTCTTGGAAGAAGGTATTTTGCCTTGTCTATTATTTTCATAAGAATGCATAAAAATCAATTGTGTGATAGTAATAACACACCATTGATAGATGCCACTGGTTTGTCACTTTAATGGTTTTGCATTGTAAATTTGAATAATATTTTCAATTTTCTTTATTTGATAACTTACTTAAAAGTTCATTCTATCAGTGAAATGTTACTTTATTCTCTTGCAATACAGAGTTAATATTGTCAGATTTAAGAAAAAATATATAATTTATATACATATGTTGAGTGTTAATAGAAAAAATCCCAAAACAGACCAAAACCATTGTAATAACTAGCTACTATATTCTTTATAGTTCCTTGAATTTGAGATGCAGAAGAAAAAAAAAGAGAAATAAGGAACTATAGAAGCATTATCAGAAAGCTCCTTTTCCCTTGAGGTGGTGCAAAATGAGATGGAATTTACACTCTTCTTAGAATACACTTTTTTTTTAGTAAGCTCTGATCATTTTGATGTTGTTGTTGTTTCCCAGCAAAGATATGACTTCGTAGTTGTGGGCTCAATGATATTCCCTTAGCAATGTTGTTTAAGTTGCCATCAGATCGTTCTAAAGAGCTACTCTTGAAAGGTTTTTGCCTACGTGACTTTGTAATTAATACTGCAAAAGGACATATAAATTCTGTAATGTATAACTGTTTCAGCAAATAACCATTCTGTGGCAGAATTGTTTCCCCAACTAAATAAAATAATGACTTGAAAATTACTGCAAAATTAAAATAATTAAGGAACATTAAAACAAATTTCTATAAGAACTGTTATTTGTTTTTATAATAGTGTATGGTATTTTAAAAATGTTATTCCATAGTCTAATTGCTATTGTTGGAAATCAATAATTGATAAATAATATGATTTTTTTTTCCTGAACCACTTTTTTTCAGTAAATAGTTTTAACTGATGACTGATATGAGTGTTTTCTTCCTTACATATTCTCGTGGATTTTTGGCACTTTTTAAAGCTTTGATTGTGCTTTCAGCTTACTTTAGGAAGATCTGAAAAATATGCTCCTGGAAGACTCTTCTAAGGATATTACATCCTGTTTTCCATCTGTGAATTTCATAGCTAATGTTTTCTTCCTATATTTCTTTCAGGATTTTGTTTTCTATTTCTGCAGGTTAGGTTTCTCCTCTGTATGATGGCTGTCTCCCTGAATTGTGTGGATAGGCTGTTATTACTACATAAAAATTGAAT